GACTCTTTGTATAAATTGCATTAAGATCATTGCATTAAATTGCATTAAGTGATCAGCAATTGAGACAATGGCCGCTTAATACATTAACAGAGAAGCCAGTGCTGGAATTTCGTCAAAGTGTCGTGCCTGATGGACTTCTTCGAATAGATGGTCGACTGAAGAAGTCTTCATTGGATTTTAATGGCCGTAGCCCAATTATAAACGGCATTGAATGAGCGGCGTCTGCTACCCCTTAAGGATTCTGTTGAAAGTCGGGGGAATATGTCGGGTCTCGCACCCGCCAGCAGCTCATAAGTTTGATAAGTGTAAATATGTATGCCAGCTTTGGCATACATTAAACTCTACGGAACCTCAGCTGTGCGATAATCTTTCGTTATCTAAGCTCTCTCGCGCTCTTTCTCTCTTTTTCTCTCGCGCTTGCACCTTTTGGTTATCTTTCTTCTGTTCGTTCTTAAGTCCTAGATACAGTCTGTTTCGTAACCCACGCATGCGCGCATTGATGCCAAATTTCGTTTAAACAATCAAAATAAAATCGTTTGTTCGAAATCGCAAAATTTAAATCGTCGTTTCATTTTGCAAATAAAAAAAATTAAAAAAAAACACAATTATTTTTAATTTTGTAATTAGTGTTTTAAAAAAAAATAAAAATAATTGAACGTTGTGGCAAGAAACAATTAATTTAATGGGCGGCGATCGAAGAGAGAGGAAAAGAATGCATGTGCGCTTGACGATTTCACAACTTAAATTTCACACGATCGTACTTAGACCCTAGTTTAACGAAGGTTGGCGAATGCGGGTCGAATTCGCAAAGAGCGAGAGAGAGCTTTATTATGCCTTCGCCCTAAACTACCTTACACTAGACTTGAAAATTTTTCGTTCTTCAACATATAGATTCAGCCAACACCGACCCCGTTGAATGTCTCCACGGATTCAACAAACTGATCCTCCTCCAAAAATCTGCTCCGTCGCTCCTTCTTAGATCGACGACTCTGACCATGCAGTCCTCCCCTGACTCCTCCCTCCAGCCACTGTTGAGGCGGCAGGTTATCTTAAATCTCCGCTAAGCTGTTCGAAAAAAATGTCGACAACGAAAATGGATGAGATCGAATCCAGTGAAGAGTAACTTCAGAATCCGACCAGTATACAATTGGTTCGATAGGGAATTCGTTTTACTAAGGTTTGATTCTATGGCAGAGATCTGCAAGGAGGTGAGCGGCACGTAACTCAAGCCTTGGGAGCGTTTTGGTTTACTTTGAAGTCAACAACGATAATTTAAACCCTTCGGAAGTTTTACTACGAATATAGAATCAAGCATCAAACACGTCGACAAAGGCATTTAACTCGTGCATTGCTGATCCAGTTAAGACAGAGTGCTATTTAGCATGTTCCAAGCAGTTTCCAAGGCATCGGAATTGACTCATCCCAATCTAACTTATTAAGCAAAAGTCCCTGCAATTGGATCTGAATAAGCCGCTGGGGTCAATGAGCTTCGATTTTACTAATAGAATGTTCCGTTTTGTCGCTCGCAGACCCATGACAGAAGTGTCAATTTTGAACTTAAAGGCATCTCCGCTAGGCAACATTCCTAGTTGACTCTGAATCCGAGAAGAACATGAGACACTTTAGACTTAATTGCCTTTAGCTCCTCTACGCATGCAGCAATAGTTAACATGTCATCGACGTAAAAATCGGATGTCTCTAGAGAATACAAATTTTGCAGATTCACTCAACCTTTTTAAGCACCGAATAGCGAGAAATGGGGCTGGTACAGTACCATATGTGACGGTGTTGAGCTTGTATAATCTCACGGACTTAGAGGGGCTCTTGTCCACACTATGAGCTGAAACTTCCTATACGCTTCATGAACCATCACTTAACGATACATATTTTTTATATTGGCAGTCGGGGTACATCTGTGCAGCCGGAAGCGGAGTAGAGTGGAGTATAACTCTTTTTGAATCGTCGGCCCCATCATCAGGATGTCATTGAAGGCCAGCTGAGACGCTGTTTTGCAGGAAGCATCGAACACGGGGCGCTACTTTGTTGAAGTACTCTGGGGCCTTAACACGTATTGATGGGGAATGACACAATGTGGAGTGGAAGGGATTTTGTTGCCTGTAGGCGACAGATGACCTAGAGGGAGAATTCTTCCATGAATTCCAAGTACATGGTCTTCATTTTAGGATCTCAAGACAACCTCGAACGAGTTGCCCAACCCATTAGGATCGGACTTAAACGGCAGCTTCACTTCAAACCGACCTGATGGCAATACCTGAGTAATGGTCTGTAATGGTCTTCACATAACTTGTGCTCAGGCGACAAAATTTTCCTCGGATTTGTCATTTCCTCCAGTGACAAACATTTTTGTAGTGTGCTGTCAATCGATTCAAACGGTTCTTCACTACAACCGAAACTATTCACAACTTGTGACTTGTGACAACTTGACCGAAGATTTGTATCTGCCCGAGACAACCCAACCAAGAGGGGTATTTAGTAATGTTGTATAGTCAGGAACAGCTAGCAATTCAAAAATCATCCTATCAACCTATCAATTTATTTGTGTCTTGTAGAAAAAGTGGTCTGTTAATGTTAATGGTTCTTCTGGATCTCCAAATCACTAGCGTTTACCGATTGATCAGTATAGTAACCGGAGAGTAACCAAAAATTGAAAGAGAATTCACTACCATTTATTCTCGACTTCACCACTGTGTGTACCTTTTTCTTGAGTTGAGAATTTGACTCGCCAATACCAAGTAAGTTGATACGTGGCATGCATAACATGAGACGTAGAAGGCTGATCTTGGGTAAAATGAGGAAAAACTGTGTATCCATGTAGAAGAATGTGGTGTGAGCGGTCACAGGCTCGTCACTTTTTGCCTTTGCATTTGAAACAGTATGTTCTTTTCGCAGACTATTCAGACATAAGGAAGCAGACTTAACAATCTCGACGTCCAAACGGGCTGCAGCTCTGTTGTAAATGATCTGCTACAAGTTTGCTGAGGCTTGCTTCAAAGGAGGAACACAATATTTTGTTTGCTTCTGCTTTGCCGATTTTTCAGCTGATAAATGCTGATATCGACGATTTAATACTTTCTCGAACTCGAACCAAAGCACCAAAATCTCATAATCTTTTCCTCCCATTTTTATTTTGGGATGACTCCTACTCAATAGCAAATAATTTAACATTGCATTCGTTAATTTTGTATCGTCTTGTATCTTTTGTATCGTTAAGGTTTCTCAAGAAGGATGCGATATCTGAAGCGATATTTTCGGAATATTAAAGAATGTTGAAATATTATTCATAAAGATTACATATTCCTTTGCGGTGGGAGTCGTTGATGGGCCTTATCGATGGGGGCGCCCCCCTTTGGGAATTCTGTTGGGCGGTCTGGCCGTTTGACCTAATCCCGGTTCGCTCAGGGATTATTCATAAATGGCCTGGATTGGTTAAATGGAATCCAATTATCCAAGTTTGGAGAGGATTAGGAATATGGCGGGGAGCATGATAAAATGCAAATCATAGCTCAATCGTAGCCATGCTATCAAGTTGCAGCTAGGGAAACCAATTTGTGCCACGCCCACTTCTACGCTCACAAACCGACCAAAACTGTAATTTTTCACTTTTTATATATTATATCTTATAAATTTCTATAGATTTGCCAAAATACTTTTTTCCACGCCCACTCTAGCGCCACAAATCGCACAAAACTGTCAGGAAATGAAAAAAATTGTTTCAAAAGTGTGGGCATGACAGTTTTGGGTGGTTTATGGGCGTTTTATTGGGCGTGGCAAAACGATTTAGGGCAATTCGATAGAAATTTACAAGACTATAAAAACAAGATAGAATGCTATAGTCGAGGGCTTGAAAGTTTTTGGCGATTCATGGCAGTTAGAGTGGGCGTGTCAAAAAGTATTTTGGCAAATCTATAGAAATTTACAAAATATATAAAAAAATGGAAAAAATATCACAACATTTTTCGAAAGTATGGGAGATACAGTTTTAGGCGGTTTGTGGGCGTTTGAGCATGAGTTATAAACTATAAAAAAAATATTAGGGACGGTGCCACACGCTTTTGGTATAAATGCATTAATATCTCTCTCCATTTTGGATTTATTCATTTTGGCTAGAAAAAATGGCAAAATTTCTCATAGTGGAACTGACCCGGTCACGCGTTTGACACATATATATATTTTTTTTAATTTTTTATTGTTGCTAATTTCTGTAGATGAGCTTAAAATATTTGACCACGCCCACTTCAAGTTGGAAAAATTTTTCTGATTTTCGTTTTTCATTTTATTATTTGTTTTGTCTACTTCTATCGATATGCCAACGCTGACCACGCTCACTCTAACTTTTCGAAAAATGTTTTGGTTTCTTCTCATTTTATTATTTCTCTTGACAAAACTGTCACGGCCACAATTTTAAACAATGTTGTGATATTTTTCATTTTTTTATATATTTTGTAAGTTTTTACAGATTTGACAAATATTTTTTTGCCACGCCCACAAGCCGCCCAAAACTGTCACGCCCACAATTTTGAAAAATGTGATATTTAATTTTTCAATATATCTTGTAAATTTCCAATTTTTTTCGCCAAAAAACTTTTGGCCACGCCCACAAACCGCCAAAAACTCTTATGCCCACAAAATGTGATATTTTTTCATTATTTTATATAATTTGTTAAGGTCTACGCCCACAAACCGCCCAAAGCTGTCACACCCACACTTTTGAAACATGTTTTTATGTATTTTCTTTTTTGTATTAGTCTTGTATATAAAAAAAATTAGGAAATATTCCTTATTGCCTAAAAACTTTTAGCCACGCCCACTATAAAGCCCACAAACCGCCCAAAACTTTCACGCCCACACGCTTGAAAAAGCGAACGCTATAGTCAGTACCTCGACAATCATATATCAGTGGAGGAACTGGACTATAGCGTTCTATCGTGGTGGAAACAATATAATTCATACACTGAAACATTCGTATAAACCCTGCGCGCGCAAGTGCTTTAAAAACCACAGCTAAACCACCTGATTTAGTTTCAATTTGGTGTTTAATATTTATACAGTTGTGTGTATTTCTATATCAAAAGATACGGAAGAACAATTTATTTCTATTTTTCTAACAGCTATTTAAGAAGTCAGGTACTACCAAAAGGAAATGCTTATATTTATTTTGTGTACATAGCAATGTAAAACACTGACTGAAAACGGCATGGCATTAAACTAAGCTTGTCAAAACTAGTTGTCCAAAATTAGGTGTGCTCAAATTATTTATTTTTTTTATAATCTTGGAATCTTTCGAAATAAAAAGAATATATTTATATTTAACGGGAATAACAAGCTTACAATGAAACAAAAAGTTTTAAAGTTGTTGCACTTTAAACGAAAAGCAATCTTGTCCTAAAACGTGCTTGAATAAATATAGGTTCTCATAGAGTAAGGGGTATAATAGATTCGTTGAAAAGTATGTAACAGATAGAACGAAGCTTTTCCGACTTCTAATGTATATAACTTGATCAGGTTCAATATACCGAGTCGATATGGCCATTGTCGTCTCTCCGTACGAACGCGTCGATCTCAGAAACTATAAAGGCTAGTAAGTTTAAATTTCAGAGATATAGACGAAGTCCGTGTTTATTTCAAAATGTTGTCACGTAGTGGTGATTGGAAATTGATAGAATATGACAAGGCAAACACTAGTATCAATTTAAAAATGTATGGTATTTTTGAATGTTTAAAAGAAAAGCTGGTCTTGTACAGAATTTTTTTTTAAAAACCTTTGGTTATTTCTATGCTTATGTACAAGTATATCAATCATGAAATTTTGTCTATAGGACTGTTGCTTACGATTATATCCAAGAGAAATAAGTATTAGAGATCACTTCAAGGATTATAGCGTATCAAACTAGGTGTCTAAAAGACTTCCAATAAATTTAAGCTATGATTAGAGCAGCTACGCAGTCGGAAGAGAAATTATTCTAGAACACGTTCTTGTATAACTCTTTTTCGAGTGGAAACTCTGAGGCAATTAAGGAATTTTAATTTAACTACAATAGGTCTGTATAAATTTTCGTATCAGTAGCAGTGGGGTATATTTTGATTGTCTTAATCCTGGTTAAGAAAAAAAACAGACAAGAGAAATAAAATATAACTACATAAATATAATTTTTAATTAAATTTTAATTAAATAAAAGCCCCCGACTATCAGATACCCGTTACTCAGCTACTGGAAGTGCAAACGGTAAAGAGTAGAAATAATAAAAAAATTTAAAAAAAAATAAATAAATTGTTTAAAAGTGTGGGCGTAAGAGTTTTGGGCGGTTTGGGGGCGTTACAGTGGGCGTGGCAAAAAGTTTATCTTTCAAGCTTTTATAGTTCCTGGCATCTCGACGTTGATACGTACGGACAGACAGACATGACGAGTTCGACTCAACTAGTAGGAAATTAAACACTTTTTTGGCAAGCCGATAGAAATTAGCATACAAAAATGCAATTAAAAAAAAAAGTGTGGGTGTGACAGTTCTGAGCAGCTTGTGGTCGCTTAGAAGGCCAACATGTTTTTGTATAATATAATAAAAAAAATCGAAAAGTTTTTCAAAAGCGTGGGCGGGAAAGTTTTAAGCCGAAGCCTGTATAAAGTTTTTTTTTGCCAAATCGATTGAAATTTACTAATTACTAATTTACTAATTTTACTAATTTACTTATAAGAAAATTTCAAAATATGAAGACAATTTCCAAACATGTTGACGTTTTGGGCGTTATCTCAGTTGTGCAATTATGTAGTTCCTATGCACATAAATATGCACAGATATGCAGATATGCAATATGCATATGCGTATCGATGCCAATTAAAGCCATAAAAACAACTAAAATAATCGACATTCATAGAGATAATTATTTATTGGTCATTGGCCTGGTCAAGATTATGTTATGACGTGCGTTGTTTGGCAATTTTGATTATTTTGTATGGGCTGGTTGTATTTCGGATATTTTACTTTGCCTGGTTACCTTCTAAATGTAATTTTGAAATAAGCAGTTGACGGTCTAATTTGTAGTTTGGAGTTTGAATTCTGCAATCAGTCCAGTCCTCTCGGTCGGCCAGTTCCTTATTGGCACTAAATCGTAATCGTTCAGTGCCATGCCGTATTTAATTACACCAGTAATTTATATTGGTAATTTCGTACAATAACCAAAATTACATATTAATTCTGCAGTAACTTTAAAACTACTTTCAAATACCTGAAGTGGACATAGAATTTTTTGTATAGAAAATCTAAGATGTAATTTATGATATAATGATGTAATATAAATACTGCAATAGACACAGTCCGAAAATTACTAGCTAATTTAAATATAATTGGTTTTGATTTTTTTATGACAAATACAAGGTGCGTTGCAAAGTAAACAGGACTTTAAAAAAAAGAGTAAACAAATGGTTTTATCGGCAAAATCAATTAATTTTATTCAAAATAGTCTGCTTTAACGGTCCTTCGCGGTCCAAAAGCAAGTCGAACGAGTGTTTTAGCTCGTTGCCCTTTTGAATGGCCTCCACGTCTGCAAGCCGCTTTCCTTTCAACGGCAAATGCATTTTTCCGAAAAGGTAGAAGTTGCACGCTGCCATATCAGGTAAATAAGGGGAGTGGTTGATTGTTGAAAAGTGATTTTTAGTCAAATAATCGGCCACAAGCGTCAATCGATGAGACGGCGCATTATCGTGCAACAAACGCCAACTTTCATCTTCGCGATTTACCGGCCGAAAACTTTGAATACGGTGCACAAAACGCTTCAAAACTCCAAGGTAGAATTCCGTGTTAACGTTTTGGCCGGGTTGAACAAATTCTTTGTGGAAAATACCCTTGGAATCATAAGAACAAATCAGCATTGTCTTCACTTTTGACTTCTCCAGGCGCGATTTTTGGGTTTCGGCTTGTCCGGCGCGTTCCATTCAGCACTCTGGCGTTTCGCTTCGGGATCATATTGAAAACACCACGTTTCGTGACCAGTCACAATCTTGTAAAGGAAGTGCCTCTTTAATGATGTCCTTCGAATGTTGAATTCGGAGAAATTTTTGATCGGCAGTCAATTTGTGCGTAACAAACCGTGCACACCTTTTGTTAGCCCAAAGGTTCGGTCAAAATGCGATAAATCGATGTTTCAATTCTAATTCTATTTCTATGAATTTCAATGATGATTTCGGCTGATTTTTTATGTATTCACGCACAGTGTCTATGGAATTTTAGGTGATCAAGGGTTTTTGGTAGGCCCACATGTTCAGCGTCATTCGCCTTACCACTTTGAAAACGTTAAAACCACTCGAGCACGTTGATTCGGTATAAGCAATCATTACTATAAACTTGTTTCATCAATTAAAACGTTTCTGTACAAGTTTTTCCAATTTTAAAACAAAATTTAATGTTGGCTCTTTGTTTGAAGCTTACATATTTTCGCACCGATGACAAAAACATTCCAAAAGATTCTAATAGCTAGATTCCAAAAGTCCTGTTTACTTTGGAACGCACCTTGTAATTTCTACTTTAATGTAATCGAAATCATATGACTATATCTTCTAGTTCCAATAGAACCAGTTGGAAAAATTAATAGAATATATTACAGAGGAAATAAAAATTTAAAGTGTTCTTTTCCTAGTTTTATAATTTTATAAATTGCCAACGCAAGCTTTTTCTTCTTTCTTATTTATATTGAAATTTTATTAAATTTTGAAAAAAGTATACTCATATAGATGAGAAACGTTTATCTGATATTTGAAGAATTGCAATACACAGTATACAATTCTTTTATTTTTTTTGTTAATTGATAACGATTTTTTTTTTTTGTTTGCGTTATTGACGCATGTAACTGCGTGGGCCAGGCCTTCTCCGAGGGCTGCTGGCCTTCCGACGAACTTATGCTATCTGTAAAGAAAAATATTTAAATAATATATCTGCAAAATTACAAATATACATATCAATCACAAAGTCAACTAGTTCGGAACACAATTGGCTATGCTAATTTACAAATTTTTTAATTCCAAACCATTTATTTAAGTGATGTATATAATGAACTTTAAATAACTTTGCAAAAAAGCACTGTACTCGACTCGTGCCAATCGAATGCATATGCAAAGGGAATGGTAAGAAGGGAAACGAAAACGAAAATTCTGATAGGCGCGTACCAGGGTATTTCCGATCACAAAGATTCCTAGTAATTATAATTACATTGGACAAATAATTTAACTCGGATTCATTAGCGTTGTCTATAGCGACCGTTTACAAAATGTTAAATCATTAAATCAACAAATATAAATAAAAACTTAAAAATATATAAAACTTCTACAAATTTTCTAAAGGGTATTCAGAGGTCTATTCAGTGCTTTCTTCACTTGACTCTGATATTCTCCCCTACTATTATTATTATTATCTATCTTATATTCGGCTACTGCTCTGAAGTTCTTCGAAAAATACAACAACAATGAAGTTCGAGCGGCAGAGGTCCGTGTTGAATTCTGTGTTCGAAACTTCGATAAAAACCTGTAAAATTATATTTTGTTTTTTCGAACATTCGCGAGGAAAATTCCTGGCATGGAATATTGGTACTAACAATTGCATACACAAAGCGAATGTGCGGCACTAATGTGCGCATTTTAGTGATTATATTAGTTTTAAATATAACTAAAGTTTATTATATCGAACACTTTCACACAGATTGAAATCTATGATCAGAATATGTCCCGCGAGCAGAAGCTTTTTTTATTTTTATTCCGATATGATTCTTCATTAGCGATTTGAGTTGCTCCGTTATTCTATTCTTTAGGATCTAGGATCTTTTCTACTAAAATAGAGCTATTTCTTGACACCCGTACAATGCATTTCTTCGCGTTTTAGATATAAATAAATAAATATCCAATTAATTTGCATTGTGTTTTAGCTTTTGTGTTATTATTGTTAATATCATTTATTTAAGCCACAAATAATACTATTTGATGCCTAAATCGTAATAAAAAGTAAACACAAAACTAAAAGCTGTTGTACAGGTTGTAAGAAAATCTGTGCCCTAAATTAATTTAATTATTTGTGGTAATCATTTTTATTTTTAGAATGCCGGCGGATCCATCCGAAGAAGTGGCCCCTCCTCAGGTCCCAAAAACTGAGCTAGAAGAACTGCAAATTAATGCGCAAGGCGTAGCCGATGAAGTAAGTACGACTAATATACATATGTACTCTAATAAAAGTAGCCAGAAGGGCTCAACACCATTTCGTCAAACAATGCTCCTGTCTTCCCTTCTATTGTATTAGAACGTATAACTCTATCCATTTGGTAAGCGCTTTAATACGTATAAAATGCAAAAAATTAGATACATTTGTTTTTGAACATCACAGGCTGGTACCCTTGTTTAAAAGTTTAATAATTGCTTATGTCTGCTGTCGACGGTAAAGGCGTAAAGACAGTAAAGACGGTAAATACGGTAAATACCGTCGATCGACAGCATTAGAATGATTTTTTTCACCTAAGGAAAATGATTTAATTAACTTTTATAATTGGCTTCGGACTTTGTTATTGACAAAGCATGGGTATCTCGGCATATACAGGTTCTTGTTTGTTGTATTTCCATATACGTCACTCGCTCTCCATGAGAAGATTCAACATCTTTGTTGAATTTAACAAAAACTTTTTTTCTTTGTTATGTCCCTATAAGTTAATATTATGGAATTGTCCATGCTTCAAATTATAACAATTAATATTATGAGTGAAACCAACTTATAAATTGAAATTCCTGTTTTTGTTAATGGGTTTCTATAGATTTAAGAATCGTATTGGTTCATATAAAGATACATTCGTGCTGCATATACCCGCTACTCGTATAGTAATACTAGGGTAATACTCTAGTTTTTGTTGTTTGCGCTCGTACGTATTGTTTTTGGATTTATTAAAAAGTAGAATCGTATTCGTTGATAAGTATGTAACAGGCAGAAGGAAGCCTTTCCGATGATATAAAGTAAATATATTCCTGATCAGAATTAATAACCGAGTCGAACTGGCTATGTCCGTCTGTCCGTATGAACGTCTTGATCTCAGGAGCTATAAAAGCTAAAAAGATGAGATTAACCATGCAGCTTAAAAAAGACATAGAAGCAGCGCAACTTCATTTTCGAATTTCGCCACGCCCACACTTACGCTCACAAGCCGCCCAGAACTGCCATGGCCGAACTTATTTATTTTCATTTTTTTTTTATTTTTTTCCCTAATTTCTTGGGGAATTTCATATTCGAAATTCCAGAAAATTTTAAAATTTTCACTAACTGAGTAACGGGTATCTGATAGTCGGGGAACACGGCGTCTCAACTTAGCTGTGTTTTGTCTTTATGGATCTCAGCTACCTGGGTCGGAGATTTGTCTTATCCCGAAAGTCAGGACGTAGCGATCTTGCCCCTTGCTGACTTTTACGGCTGTAGCTTCCTTGCTGATTTCGTTACTTCGCGTCCCGCTTCTAGCGCTCGACGTGCTTATAAAGGCCTCCTTTATTCTCATCCGATATTCTTTGATGTCTCCAGTTTCCCGGATAAAAGTTTACTGTTTTACCGTTTGCCTGGTCTAAAGTCCAGCTTGGTACCGTGGTACGCTTTCTGTTCTACCGCTGTCCCGCTCTAGATCGTGGCGTCTCACTCTCGATCTCCATATTCTCTCTTTCCAAACTCTTTTCCTCCAAACAGATTCCGTTTCTCCAAACTCTCTGCGGATTCCGTTTCTCCAATGGAGGAGCCCTGTTGGTTTTACTCCCCCATCGGATTCGCATCCCCGTTCTTGGTATCATCTTCCACCGGACCCTGATGCTTCAGATCGCTGATGTGTACCGCGCATTCCTTTCCGTCTTTCCAGTGGCGGATCTAACCGATCACTGGCTATACGAAATTCACAATCTGGTACGGCCCATCGAGCCTCGACGCTAGCTTGGCAGCAAAATCCCTCGGCCGCTTTCGACAAAAGGGTGCTCTTTGGCCCAAGCCACATCATCAATCCTTGGCTTCCATTGCCTTCTTTGCAGATTCTAATGCCTTGCCTGGTCTTGGGAAACTTTATCCAGGTTTCATCGTACTTTTTCGAAATTCTCCATCTTCTCGGCTTTTCCTACCGGAGACTCCGTCTACCTTCGTGTACCTAGCGTCTCTTTGTCGTATAGCGTGTTCTGTAGCCTTGGCTCGCGGCCTTGTGTCAAAAATTTCGGTGAGTAGCCAATGGTTTCTGACACACTGGAATTTACCGCCAGCATGATTTCGGCCATTTTTCTTTCCAATTCCTCTGGTTTTGCCCAGCGAACTGTACTTTCATGGTCTTCACTAGCGGTTCGGCCTCTATTGTACCATAAACTGCTGATTTCCCCATATCACCACTTGAACACCACATTCGAAACTCCGTGGTTCTTCGCAAGTGTACTAACTCAGTCCATTTCGAGAATCTGTCGATTTGCCTGGTCCAAGGACCAGCTTATTATCGTCGCTTCCTTTAACCTGGCACGCCGAGGCTTACTGTTCTACTGCTGTCCCGCTCTAGTTCGTGCCGTCTCACTCTCGCTCTCCATATTCTCTCTTTCCAAACTCTTTTCCCCCAAACGCTCTTTCTACAGATTCAATTGCTCCAAACTCTCTACGGATTCCGTTTCTCCAAACTTTCCGTTTCACAATGCCGTTACTACGCTTTGAATCGTTCCGTAACTGGCATCGGGCAAGCCCTCCTTCTGTATTTTTGCGGAGTTTTCAAGTCCTAACAACACCCTTCTGTAGATATAAGAGAGATAAAATAGCGCTTTTGAATGAATGCTGTAGTCTCAATTACGCTAGAAGTTATTCAAGTTCTTCTGGTGTTGCACGGCAAACGTGCAATTGTTCTTTGTTTCCCTACTTGGCCAGCCGATGTCAAAGTACATTCTTAGGATGATATTCCCTAGTATTCGTGAGGCGCGCAGTTTATAGGATACTACATTTACGATCCCAATGTACCTTTGATAAAATAGTCGCCATGCTTCCTTTTTTTCAATATTATTTAATCTGCTTGATGAAAATTTATGAAATAGGACAAAAATTTGAAATATGAAATAGTTTAAAAATCCTGAACCGAGCTATCAATAGACTATTTATTATCCCTATACTAATTGTAGCAAATTACAGTACTTAAAATTACGTGGCTGACCTAATAAGCTTATTTATTAGGTGACGATGAGCAGGCTATATTGCTGAGCAAATAAGTGGAATCGCATGAGTACAAGAGAGTAAAAGAAAGAGAGAGAGGCGAGCTTAGATTCTTATTCACCCATATAAAAACCGGTTATCGACTTTCTCAGCTGTCAGCAGTTACTAAATTCATGTTTTTGTTTATTGTCAACACTGGAGACATAATTTATATTTACATCAGCAGTGCGATTATCTTTACTTATTTAAATTCGTCTCTGTCGCACTACCACTTAAGTTATGCAGCCGCATCGATGCAGACTCTCGATCTAACAATACAAATAAACCTATTCGTCCGAAATCGCTGAATAAAAATGGTATTTTTATTCTGTAAGAAATTAGCTAATAAAATAGCTTATTAGCTCAACAGCGGTAAAGAGGAAATCTGAACTGAACTTCTAGCTCGATAAACGATGAAATATGCAGGAAATAGGACATCGAGACTGTGGCGAAGGAGGGCTCTCAGCTCATCAAAAGACAACCGAAGGACCCACAGAAAGATTAAAATTACGATCGACCCACTTTACTGCAGCCAATATCCAACAATGATTTAGTGTGGCTGTTGCTGAGAAAAGTAAGTCTTAGTGGCCTCCTCATTGAGCTTTTGAATGTGACCGTGCCTGAAGCAACTGTAGACAGGTCCTTGATCAGCTCTAAATGAGCTTCGCCTTCATTGCGAAGCAAATGAAAACGCAACGTAGGCTTTCATAGGAGCCTTAATGCACGCCCCAATCTTTTGGAGCAATGGAATTCTATGCCAGTGACTACATATACATGAAAATAATCGAGACGCTCTTTTGGTATACGTATATGTGTATATATGTATATTTGGTTTTGTTTGAAAACTCGTGACGCTCTTGCTTGTTGCCAATATAGAGAATTAGAGGCGCAAAGCAGTTCGTAAATGAAACTGGCGCAAATCAATAAGTCTACTCCTTGCGGAAGATGGAAATCTGGATCCACGAGCTTAAGATATTTAATTACATTTAAAATTTCAATGTTTAATGGGCCAACATTTGGAATTATTGTATATAATAATAGTAGTAAGTATACACACGTTCGAGATCGCATTTACTGAGAACCCATTAAGCGGATGACTTAGACTTTGGCGTGCTATACGGCATAGTTCGAAGCCAGAGTCGAGTATAGCATCTGTACTATAACGCTGTGCGAAAAGAACAACAGACGTCCAAGACAATAAGGAGGGTACTACCAAAGACACTAGAATAATAAGATGCGTAACGCCATACGATTTTTTTGAACACGATTTTTTTGTGCTGGCTCCAGGCTATAAATCATAATATAAAACTATAAATGTACATAATTAATTTCAAAGATTACTTTATACTAGAAAATATGACGTTAGAGTTTTCAGCTCGCGACGTGCAAAATGTACTTGAAGTTAGGGATTCTTAGGCGCGCTGTTCCTGCCTCAAGAATTCAATTTTGCAATAAACAGGTTGCATATAAAGTTTTCTATTTATTTGAACAAAATATTAGCACACAATTAAAAAAAAAAATCCAAACTAATGTAAATTACCAATTTTCAGTATTTAAAATGCAAATATTATTTTGTTGAATGTTTTTGTTATATTCTAATTTGATATTTTTAAAAACCTCGCAATTTTGGGTGGATAAAAAGGGCGTCAAATTTATTGTTTCTTCTTTTAGTTCCTCTTAATCCGTTTGCTTAAAGGTGACAAATAGATAGAGCTCATCGTTTGCTACTTTTTTAAAATATCCACAAAAAAAAATATTAAAATATCTTTTTAATAAAATGTCCATATTTTATTGAATATATTATATATTTTATATTTTTTATATATATTTTTTAGATCATATTAAAACGAAATTGACCAAAACAATAATCAAATTCGGTTCTTGAATCAAAATTGATTTCGGACCGAAATCGACTTCTAGCACAACTGCGCACACATGCACACTTTTTTGCTTACTGTTTTCACTCACAC